TATAAACATATATTTAGTAATGTGTGTGAAGTTGGCCCCCCAACTTTGTCGGATCGATTCGTGAAATATGTCAATATTTTGCAAATTAAGTGTAAATAATTGCAAATTGGTTTTCAAAATTTGCAAATAACTCGTTAACATATAATAAGCGAAAAACCGTTACGGGGGGGCAACTTCACGCGGCCCCCCGACTTTGTCCGATCGCTTCGGGAAATATGTCAATATTTTGCAAATTAATTTCACTGGTTGTTTATATTATTAATAATATATAAATAATTAATTTATAATATTTTGATTTGGTTTTGAACTGTTAGGTAATTTACATTTTCAGTTTCCAATTTTTTTTTATTTTTTTATAACATTGTATATTCACTTGAATTGTAGCGATTTTCTTATTATTTTGTAATTCAAAAAGGAATAACTTATAATACATGAAAATTTCACTGAATGTTTATATTCTCATTGTTTATACACCATATAAATTATAATGTTGGAAATATTTTGACTTGTTTGAGCGGACGACTACGAATTGGTTCCCGGGTTGTCTACAGGTAACATACGAGTTGGTTCCCGGGTTGGCTACAAGTAACATAAGAGTTGGTTCCCGCAAGCTTTCATAAATAATACAACCTTGTTAAATGAACTTACCAAATTATTATGATATATTCAACCAGCAACAATTTCCTTCCCATTTATTCAGACTGAAGACTGTCTAGAATCCAAATAAGTTTGAATAGCTTAAACACTATCAAGAATACCTAGGTTATAGGTTAAAAATGTTGCCCAGTAGTTAATATATACATAATATACTCTACATACGTGTTTGTCAATAATAATAATTATGCTTTTAATAAATAAGTAATAATAATAAAAAGCTGGGCAAGTGGGTGTCGCTCTGCTGTACAGTAAGTGGGTCACTGTATAAGGGATGATATTAAATTTGAATTCAACGATATAATATCATTGTATAAGAACAACGATTCTGAGGGGAGATGGTATGTCAGTCTAGGTATAAGACATATTGTATACATATCTATGATATTAAACAAAAAATTGACCTGCAATAGGTACCTATAATAAATTCCAAATTAATCATATCACAATATCCATTAGGTACTTATAACGCGTTATACATCAACAAAAACTGTGATACTATCCTAGATATATAATAGTACACTTTTGAAGTTTCAAGTACCCACGATATTCAATCACAACAAAAAAACTAAAATAGTTATTCTAGGTTTTTTAATATGTAATTTCGTCCATATTTGAATTTCAAATGTCTGTAAAAAATAACTGTGTACATATATTTTTTAGATTTTTTGGTTACAGTATGAACTATTTATGAGAATCTTTGTTTTAAATTTTCAATCCTTAGCTATAAAAACTGAACATTTTATAATTTATTAATTAGAATGATTGAAAATTTTCGGGATTTTGATAAATTTTGTCAAAATTAGATCTTTAAATGCTTATAAAAAAAAATTGTGCTTATGTATTTTTTATATTTTTCAATTGCTATTGTAACAATATATCAGGAGCCTTGTATTACATTTTTACACTTTTTGGCCCAACAGATAAAACTGTATTGATATTTATAGAAAAAAAAACTAAAAAAATTGAAAAAAAAAATTTCCGTAAATAGCTCAAAAAGAGTCAAAATATTTTCAAAATTGTATGGTGTATAGGAAATGCTAATATAAATATTCAGGGAAATTTTCATGTATCTACAGTTATTCGTTTTTGAATTACAACACAATAAGGAAATCGCTACATGAGAAATCGAGTGAATATCCATTGTTGTAAAAATTTGAATTTCAAACGCTCATAAAAATTTAATTTGACTTTCCGGTAGAGATTTTTTTATTGATAAAGGTAGACAAACTTATGAGGAATCTTGTATTACATTTTAAAACCTTAGATTTAAAAAGAAAAATTTTTACGAATTTTTAACTCAAATAATTTGATAATTTTCGTGATTTTTCCATATATTGTCCAGATTTGAACTTTAAATACTTATAAAAAAAATTGTGACTAAGGATTTTTAATATTTTTCATCTGCCTTTGGAACAGTATACCAGGAGCCTTCTATTAAATTTTCAAGCTTTTTCAGCCAACAAATAAAATTTTATTGATATCTTTAGAAAAAAAAAAAAAAAAAAATGGAAAATGAAAATGTCCCTAAACAGTTCAAAATAAATCAAAATATTTTGAAAATGTTATAGTGTATAGAAAATGCAAATATAAACAACCAGTGAAAATGTCAAGTGTCTACGGTCATTTATTTTAAAGTTACACCAAAAACCAAATTCAATTTTGTGAAAAATCGATTTTGCCTAAAAATTCCCGATTTTCCTTAATTTTTCTTTTGTTAATCTTGTCGCTTGTGAAAACTATTTTGAATTTTAAATTTTGACCTTAAAAAAGTACCAACTAGATTCACTTTCCCATCAAACAAGTTACTGGAGTTGAAAATCAAAGCATTATTTCGACTACTAATCGTGTACACAGACACACAAAAAAAAAAAAAACACATCATTGTAAAATCAATACATTCACCGTTTCACTCAGAATCTAATAATAATAATAAGTCATAATAGGTAAATTTTATTAGAAAAAAAATTAGTGTGGTATGAGTTTACAACACACATTTTTAACGAACTGTAGGTTCGACATTTGGCCCTCTTTCAATTTTTATATAAAATTATAAAATTATATATATAAACTTTCCCAGACATCGTAAAACCTAATAAAATATTATAAGATTATCGATTGTACATATTATACGTTTCTTGTAACAGTGAGTTTTTATATACTGATAAACTGATAAGTAATTTTATTCGGGAACCAATTCGAACAGTTGTATACTGGAAAGTATTTTTTTGTCGGGAACCAATTCGTACACTTTAATTGACCCGGGGACCAATTCGACGTTTGCCGTTTGAGCTATTTACGGATAATTTCAAATTCAAATTTTTCATTTTTTTTTTTAAATATATATATATATCAATACAATTTTATTTGTGAATAATTAATAATAAAAAATTATTATTAAAAAATAATAATTGCAAATAATTACAAATTGGATTTTTATCATCAGTATCAGTAGGTACCTATTATTTATCATACAGGTATAAATTATATGTTTTTACTACTAAAACAATTATTGATCAATAAGATTTTATTTTATTATTACATTTAGGAAATGATTTCATCAACTGCTAAATTGAGTTCATTAATTTCATTTATTTTCTTCTAATTTAATACATTTAAAAACAAAGTTAAATATATTAAAAATTAATAAAATTTTCCTCAATACGGTGTTCATATTTGAACGGAGCTTACGGTTGTTTAATATCCTATCAATTTCAGGTACATGTGTCATATATTTTGGTTTCTCAGCAATTAAACTGAGATTTGTATCCTATTCAAAATTAGGATTACCTCCAAGTCCTCTTCAAGTTTCTTGTTCAAGAATACTTGCATCGATTTTTTTACCAGTTGCTGTTTGTAATGACTCGACATTTTTATTATGTAGTGGAGATTTTTCGGGAGAACTTATATCCAAAAATATGTTTTGATTTTTTTTTGATTTTTTAAAGATTCTTCATCAGAACTTTTATCATAAGCAAAACTTTCTTGGTTTTGTTCATATCCCGTACTTGTTTTTCCTTCTTTGAGTTCATCAAAACTTATCTAGAAATATGGTTTTAGATACATTCGTTTTGAAAAGAGATACTGAATCTTCGTCAGAACTATAATCATAAGCTACACTTTCTTGGTTTTGTTCATATCCCGTAATTATTTTTCCTTCTTTGAGTTGTAACTTGCTACTCCGCGTTACTCGTAGAAACGGAAGTAATAATTGAACAAAACCTCTTTGATGATATTTATTGTATTTATTTAATGTAAAAAGTGTTATGGAAAATATTCTTAAAGTCCAAATAATTATGTTTCTTGACTTAAGCGAGATGTGACTATGAGTATTTAGTGACTGTTCAATTTGAGGCTGGTTGCTCGTCTGATGAACGCTTGTCCATCAGCTCTCCTCGATGGATCTCTGTCCCTGGTCCCTTCCATAATTTCTAAGACCATACGTGGTCCTTCCATTATTTTTAAGACCATACATGGTCTTGCGGTTAAGCCTATTGTGATTTCACACGCTTGCACGCGCCGGAAGTCCACATATATTTATATCGCACATTTGTGGTGTTATTCAAATAATAGCACAAATCTAAACTATATTATTTTTGGATTATTCATATACGTAGTCATATAATATCTATTGTCGCACGGCGCTCATGGTCATGCACTCGATATTACTATTATTGATATTATGATTATTACTATTCGAGGAAGCCCTCGAGTATAATATTCATATTTACGCGGTGCGAATATTATATGATTACGTATACATTATAATGTGCTTAAGCCATATGGCAAGATAGTCACAGCTCGCTACACCTCACCGCCCTTTCAAAGGTTTTTATAGGGCTACAAAAAGCTTTAAAATTTTACATAGGTGAAAGTTACAATTGGTTTACATAAATTACATAGTTCATGAGTTTACAGATGCAATATATAAATAATTAATCATTGTCTTATTATGTCAATTTACATGATAATTCTTAGTAACACATTTTTTTTTTTTTTTTAGATTACTCGTCTAGAGTATTACAATTGATTAAATTAATACAATAATATTTTTGTTAGTTATTAACATATGATATTATATATATATATATATTATGTATTATATATATAAAATTTAAATACAATAAAAATATTTGTTAGTAATTTGATTAAGTTAATTTTAATTAAGTTAATTGATTAAAATACAATAGTGGGAACATTTATGCTGGTTTTATTTTTTACCAATGCTGTAATAACAGAAAGTCTAAAATCATACAGACTACATTTTTTTACGTTTTCTACGTATAAGTAATAGGCTTTTAGCAAAAATAGTTGAAAAAAATGAATCCCGATATTTTTGTACCACCTTACAGTTTTTCTTTCGCATGGGTAGTATAATAGCATTTGGTCTTGCTATCAATTCCCGACATATATTTGTTATACATAGAAATGGTCTTAGGTTTCAATTTTTGATCTCCTCTTCTGTTAGTAACTTCAACTAAATCATTAGTGTGCTCAGAGCTTATAGCTAAAACTTCTCGTCTGTCTCGCCATTTCATCACACATACGCCTTCCTTGGTATACTTTCCAACACTTTCTCTTACTTTTAATTTTTTCAAAGTTATTTCTTTAGGGTTTCCTTTTCTATTGGCTCGCAAAGTTCCTGTACAATATGTTCCTTTTGTTAGAAGTATGGGAGCTAGCTTTACACTATTGTAATAATTGTCCATATACAATGATCGACCACAAACAGTAAGTCCTTCCATTAATTTTACGACAACATATTCTGTATGAGTAAAATCGTCAGACGTATCATTTCCTTGTCCAGAGTATATCATAATTCTGTGGACTTACCCACCGGATTCTGTGAGCATGTACAGTTTGATACCATACTTATGGCGCTTATTTTTGATGTATTGCCGGAAAACTAATCTATCCCGAAATAAAACCATTGACTCATCGAGTGCTAAATTTCTAAAGGTTCATAAACATCTGTCATTTTATTATTGAAATATGTTACTATCGGTTCAATTTTATTCAGGTTTCGATTGTTCACATCATATTCACTTTCAGTAAATGTGAAAAAGTAAACCAATAAAAAGTTTCATTTCTGGTATATTTGTATCTTTCCACGTAGAAATTCGAGATGATGGACCCCCAGATCCAGATAAAAAAAACTTCAACTGCATATTTATTGGTTTCGTTAACTATTAACTCGAAAAGTCTATCATCAAATAATAGATTAAAATAACCAATAGGGTCATTTCTTTGCGGAAAAACCTTCAATCCTTTGGATTTTGAAAACGGGATATGTGTCACTATAGGTGGTCTATTACTCCATGTATAACCCGATGAAGAAATAATAGGTACATCTGATATATTTTCCTCTTCTTGTTGTACTGTATTATTGGGTTGTGATATCGGAAGTGACCATTCTGGATCAAAATCATCATCACCAGAATCCCCTTCCCCCAAATCAGTACCAGAACTTAAGCCAAAATCATCATCTGAATTTTCTAACAAACGCAATAATTCTTCGTCAGTCATTGGGTTGCCCATTTTTCTTGAAAAAAAATAATTATGTTATATATTATAAACCATTAAAATTCAATTTTTCGTGCGATGGTAAAATGTTTTAAGTATTTATCGATTATTTATAATTATATTTTATTATTATTAAAACATTTATATCTACTGTATGAGGAATATTATTTCATTAGTATATTTTAATATAGCTTTCCAAATGTGAAAAAAAATGTATGGATTTATGTAAAATAAAAGTATAACTTACCTTTTATTTTCTTCTACTTCATATAACAATAAACATTGCAAAAAAAATGTAAAAATCATGAAAAACTAGAACCAACTACACTACGTAATAAACAATACATTACTGAATAGCCGACAGAAATTTCAAATATGTACAGCTCTAGCCGCCTTCAAAATATCGCAATAAGCGACAGGCAGCGGCATGTCAACTACAGGTTGACACCGGCCATGGGCGAGCGCTTATTCGTGTCAACCACGGGTTGACATCGGCTATGCGCGCCTGTTTAGTCATGTCAACCACGGGTTGACATCGGCGTTTAACGTGTTAATCAATATAGACTAAAAAATTTTAATTTTTTGAAATTAATGAAAAATTATATAAAAAAAGTATAAAAAAATAAATGTTATGTGAAATTTTGTGCTTTAGAATATTATGAAAATTCTGAGAAAGTAAGATATAATCTAAATGAAATTACAATTGAAGGAAATATTTTTATTATTAATCAAGGAGATGTTGGTTGTGGAAATGGAAATCCTTATATTTCTAAACTATTACACTCAACAACTTGGTTAGAACTTTGTCATATAGCTAATGATTTAATTATTGCAACAGGTGATTATAATCACTATTATCTAGATGATATTAAGATTGTTCAAGATTTAGGAAATATTAAAATGTGTGAATTTAGTATGGGATATTAATATTATTTAAATAGAATTTTTAATAAAAAATATTTTTACAAAAAAAATCGAAAGTAAAAAAAAATAATATTTTCTATAATAAATAATGGATAGTGAAAAAATTGAAATCAATGTTAAAGGAATTATTAACAATAATAAAATGGATAACAAAACTTGTGATAAATGTAACTTAACAGTTAGTTACAAAAATTGGTCTAGACATTTGAAATCTATTCGTCATCAAAACAATGATTCAGATTAAACAATTATACCTCGATTTAGAAGAACATACAGGGGCACAACAACAAAAAATATAAGAACAAGACAAGAGAGAATACCAAAAACAGATAAAACTTGTGATATTTGTAAGTTAACAGTTAAATACAACAGTCAAAACATTTGCAGTCTATTCGTCATCAAAATAATGGTATAAGACCAAGAATACCAAGAGAGTTAATACCCAAACCACATAGTTTTCAATTTTAGTTCAAAAATGTTTGAAAAAAACAACATGATTTGACCTATATTGAAAACTAAAGAAACAGCATTTCAAAATAGATTAAAAACTTATATTATTAAAAATAATATGGGTATTAAAGATACACAAACATTTTTAAATCGTTTATATTATCCAGTAATAGGACAACTTGAACAAGAATTTAAAAAAAACAAATTTAAAAGTAAATATTTGGTTTTTTGCTAAATATAAGAGAGGTTATGATGAAGAAAATATGGAATATGAAGAAAAAAATTTTAAAACAAAATAAAATTTTAACAAAAAATTCTAACTTAAATAATTTTTATACAAATGCAAAAATTAAAATTGTAAATTAAGAAGAAGATTTTATAATGAGAAATTCTCAATGGAAACTTCATCAAATTTTAAGTTTGGAAATAAATATAAATAAATATGTTCCTTTTAAGGGTTCTTCATATATTCCATTACCTAAACATATTAAAGATAAACATGCTATTATAAATATTAAAAATAAAGATGATAAATGTTTTCTTTGGGCAATACTCTCGCTTTACATCCTGTTGAAGATCATAGAGAAAGAGTAACTAGATATATTCCTTTTAAAAATGAATTTGATAAAGAATTTAAAGATATTGAATTTCCAGTAAAAACCACAGACGTTCCGAAATTGGTTAAAAGAACAAAAGATATTTCTATTAATATTTATTGTTTAGATAAAAAAAGTAATTGTACCTTTAGAAATAACTAAAATCGAAAACACTAATTATATAGATTTATTATATTTAACAGTGGATGATAAGGATAATAATATGAATAAAGGATATTATTGTTGGATTAAAGATTTATGGAAACTAGTAGGAATTCAAGTTACAAAAGATGGTCATAAAAGATGTTTTTGTAAAATTTGTTTAAATAGTTTTGATACAGAAAATAAGTTAAATGATCATAAACATTATTGTGCTAATAATAAAGCTGCTAAAATATTTCTACCAGAACCCTATAATAAAACTTTAGAATTTAAAAATTAATCGAAGCATTATTTCGACTACTTATCGTGTACACAGACACAAAAAAAATAAAAAAAATAAAAAAAAAAAAAAAAAAAAAAAAATAATAAAAAAAAAAACACACATCATTGTAAAATCAATACATTCATCGTTTCACTCAGAATCTAAAATTCAATTATAAGTACACAGAAAAATATATTTATTTATAATAAAAAAAGTTTTAGTTTAAAAAAGATAAAGCATTAGTTTTTTAGATTCTGAGTGAAACGATGAATGTATTGATTTTACAATGATGTGTGTTTTTTATTTTTTTATTTTTTTTGTATCTGTGTACACGATAAGTAGTCGAAATAATGCTTCGATTTTCGACTTCAGTATCTTGTTCGATTGGAAAGTGAATATCGTTGGTGCATTGGGGAGGTCAAAATTTAAATTTCCCAGTAGTTTTCACAAGCGCCGGGAAAAACAACATAAAAATTAAGGAAAAACGGGAATTTTTACGCAAAATTGATTTTCCAAAAAATCGATTTTGGTTATTGGTGTAACTCTAAAACAAATGAACGTATATACATGAAATTTTCACTGGTTGTTTATATTTGCATTTTCTATACACGATAACATTTTCAAAATATTTTGATTTATTTTGAACTGTTTAGGGACATTATCATTTTCCATTTTTTTTTAGTTTTTTTTCTAAAAATTTCAATAAAATTTTATTTGTTGGTTGCGAAAGCTTGAAAATTTAATAGAAGGCTCCTAATATGTTGTTTCAAAGGCAGATGAAAAATATTAAAAATCCTTAGTCACAATTTTTTTTTATAAGCATTTAAAGTTCAAAAATTGACAAAATATGGAAAAATCACGAAAATTAGCAAATTATTTTGAGTTAAGAATTCGTAAAAATTTTTCTTTTTAAATCTAAGATTTGAAAATCTAATACAAGATTACTCATAAGATTGTCTACCTTTATCAATAAAAAAATTTCTACCGGAAAGTCAAATTAAATTTTTATGAGCGTTTGAAATTCAAATTTTTACAACATTGGATATTCACTCGATTTCTCATGTGGCAATTTCCTTTTTTTGTTGTAATTAAAAAACGAATTACTGTAGATACATGAAAATTTCACTGAATGTTTATATTAGCATTTCCTATACACCCTACAATTTTGAAAATATTTTGACACTTTTTGAGCCGTTTACGGACATTTTCAGTTTTCAATTTTTTTAGTTTTTTTTTTCTATAAATATCAATTAAGTTTTATCTGTTGGGCCAAAAAGTGTAAAAATTTAATACAAGGCTCCTGATATATTGTTACAATATAAGTTGAAAAATATTAAAAATACATAGGCACAATTTTTTTTATAAGCATTTTAACATCGAATTTTGATAGAATTTTTCAAAATCTCGAAAATTATTAATCATCGTAATTAATAAATTATAAAATGTTCAGTTTTTATAGCTAAGGATTGAAAATTTAAAACAAGATTCCACGTAAGTAGTTAATTCTCTTACCGAAAAATCTAAAAAATATACAATCACAGTTTACTTTTATAGTCATTTTATGTTCAAATTTGGACGAAATTACATATTAAAAAACCTAGTTATTTTGTTGTGATTATATAATATTATTCGTGGGTACCTACTTGAAACTTCTAAAGTGTACTATTATATATATATGATAGTATCAGGGTTTGTTGTTGATGTTGATGTATAACGTGTTATAAGTACCTAATGGATATTGTGATAATGTGATATGATTAATTTGGAATTTATTATAGGTCAATTTTTTTTTTAATACCATAGATATGTATATAATTTGTATTAAACCTAGACTGACATACCGTCTTCGCTCAGAATCGTTTTTCTTATACAATGATATTGTATCATTGAATTCAAATTTAATAGCATCCATTATACAGTGACCCACTTGTAACCTACTGTACAGCAGAGCGACATCCACTTACCCACCTTTTTTAATGTGAAATTGCTTTTTTGTGAAACTAATGAATCAATACCTGGAGCCAATAAAGGTAAACACTAATAAGTAATAACGTTTATCTTTAGGCTCGATGCACACGTCCGTATGTAATATAAGATAAAATGCCGCAACGGTAAAAACACGGACGTTATTTGATGGTTGGTGTATCTTTATATTTTTAAAATAAATTTGTTCTCGTAATATTAATATATTATATATAATTAATTCATGGTTTTAAAATTGAAGTGGGGGCCGCATCAAAATCTACCGCGGGTTGGACACCACTGGTGGCCTGGTGTACACGATAAGTAGTCGAAATAATGCATCGATTTGCAACTTCAGTATCTTGTTCGATAGGAAAGTGAATATCGTTGGTGCATTGGGGAGGTCAAAATTTAAAATGCCCAGTAGTTTTCAAAAGCGCCGTGAAAAATAAATGAAAAATTAAGGAAAAAACGCGAGTTTTTACGCAAACCCGATTTTCGACAAAATTGATTTTGGTTTTTGGTAAAACTCCAAAAGAAATGAAAGTAGATCGATGAAATTTTGACCGATATAATTAGATAATAGATAAACATACATTTTTATTACATTTTATTATATTATAAATTATTATTCATTTTTTTTTTTTTTTTGATAATACATATTTTGAATTTTTAAGCACATATTTTTGTTGTATAAATAATACATACTTTGGTTATATAAATACATATAAATCCGAGCCCTAATAATGATAAATGAAACATAAAATACATAGGTATGGTACATGTTAAAATAATACATTAATTAAAGTTAAAGTAACCAAACCAGTACTACACCCTGGTACAAAACAACAATTTACCATTTTTAATTTGTAGGAACAAAAATACAAAATACAAATTACTATTGTTTTATGTATAATTATTAATTATTGTTTTTAAATAACAATAATAAAATTTATTTGAAACTTTATCATTTTATGCATTGTTTATTTATAAATTTAATATTTTGATGAATAAATAATTATGTATGTATCATCCATGCCGAAGTGTCCAATTTTAACCAAAATCCCTCAACCCTTGTATATTTGTTCTGGATCTGATCCAGATCATAAAGTATTTGTAAGGAATAATAAATCAAGACATCAAGTTTAATTCAAAAAACGCACATAATCCCTATACTACATGCTATAATTGTAATGATATTATATCATTGAATTCAAATTTAATACCATCCATTATTCAGTGACGTACTTGTAACCTACTGTACAGCGGACTGCGGAGCGATATCCACTTGACCCCCCTTTTTTTGTTAATTGAATTAAAGATAAAAATGTCTAAATATACATTTACCTATTTCATAATATTTTTATTAGGTCTGAGATGGAGGAATCAAATTCATTAATATCACAACCTTCTACTTCAAATTATGAACCACAATTAGGTCAATCAGATTCAACCGATGCATGTATTTATCCGTCTCCTATTACTGACACCTCATCAATAGCCATTGTTCACAAAACAAATTCAACACTAACTAAACAAATGAAAATGACACAATTCACTCTGAATAAAAGTGCAAAAAAAAAAATTGATAATGCACTTGCCTATTTCATTGCAACAAATATGATGCCGTACAGTTTAGTGGAAAAGGAGGGATTCAAACTATTTGTGAATGCGTTAAATCCTAGCTACAAGCTACCAGGTCGAAAAACTCTTACAGAATCCCGAATACCGTCTATGTATAGTGAAACACGTAACATTATAGGAAACATAATTAGGAGCGCCGATGTTTTTACTTTCACCACGGACTGCTGGACTTCAAGTTCAAACCAACCGTTTATTGGTCTCACGTGTCATTTTATCAACGCTAATTTCAAATTAACTTCAGCCTGTTTGGGTTGCATTGAACTGTCGGAAGACCACACTGGGGAGAATATAGCCGATGTAGTTCAAATGTTGTTTTTAGATTATGAGATACCGGATAGGAAAATATGTTCGATAGTGACTGATTATGGATCTAATATGCTAAAGGCTGTACGCAATTTAAATATACCACATGTAGCTTGTTTTGGCCATGCTCTTAACACGGCAGTTTCACGCATCTTTAATATGGACGAGATAAAAGATGTAGTCCATAAAGTCAAATTAATCCATAATATATTTGCCCATAGTTGGAAGGCAGTTCGAGAAATGGGAAAAGTTCAGGAAAAATTTAGCTTGCCAAATAAAAAATTTCCATCTTACTCTAAAACGCGTTGGTGGTCAATGTTGGAATTAATTAATGTTATTATTGAACAAGAACTTGGACTCACAAGTTTCCTACGAACATATAAAAATGGTGGATATAAAAATTTAGCTCTTCAAGAATCAGACATTATCGTATTAAAAAACCTAAGTTGTATTATACAGCCAATCCGGGAAATAACTGATAATTTAGCTGGCGATTCATACGTCACGGGCTCGGCTATACTACCAGTTATTTCTTCGCTTAAATCAAAACTATCTCAAATAACACAACTAAATGAAAGTGATGATACGGACATCAACGGAGGACAAATTAAAAACATGTATACAACTATTATTGAGGTGCTAGATCAACGCTATCAAGGTAACAAATTACTGATTATGTGTACCGTATTGGATCCTAGGTTCAAAATCGAGTACATTGAGTATGATAATTTATCGGCTTTGAAGAAAACCATCGCTGAATTTTGTGAAACAACATACGAGAGTATCGAAAGTGATGGTTACGTCAACAATATTTCTAATCAACTGGCATCACAAAAAAAACCAAAAACTGGGTTGTCTGTAATTTTTGGTACTCCTGAAAATAATAATATGGATAATTTTCAAGTAAGAATTTGAAGATAAATTATTTTACTTTATTGTTACTACTTTTTTAATTTTATCATTTTAGGAAGTTCCATTAAGCCAAAAAATAAAAAATGAATTGGACTTGTACATTAACAATCCAAAAATTGGTGTTGAACAAGATCCACTAGATTGGTGGAACATAAACAAGACAACTTACCCTATTATATTCGTTTCAGCAAAAAAAGTTATGACCGTTCAAGCTACAAGCGTAGCGTCTGAACGTATTTTTAGTAAAGGTGGATGTATATTAACTGATCATAGATCATCGTTAACTAACGAACATGCCAGCCAGCTTATTTTTTTAACTATGAATAAGGACTATATAGATAAACCAGTATTTTAAATATTATTTTATTTTAATATAACTTTAAGATTAAGACTGACCCTTAAGGTAAACGGCAGTTCATATATTTGTTGTATAAGTTTATTTTATGTTTTTATGAATAAATCGTTTAAACCAGACTATTTATTTGATTACTAAAATGAGTATATTATTATTATTAAAACACTATAATATATTGTGTAGTATAAGTATGATTATTCGATTATTCGTCAATTACTATTCGATTAATCGATTATTCGATTATTCGTCAATTACTATTCGATTATTCGTCATTACGGTTAAAAATCGTAATACTCTCAGATTATTCGATTAATCGATTATAATCGAACATTTAACTAATATTCGATTATTGTGGGAAAAAAAAATATCGCGCAGTCCTAGTCGGGCCCTTACGTATAGCGCCTATACGCATACGAACGAGATGATTTATGGTGTCATTACGACTTATATCCATGTACCTAGCTACACGCGCCTCCATACGCATATGGACTATAATATAATTTAATGTACATACTATACGCAATATTGATCCACGTACAGGCGCTTCCATACGCTCAAAGTATTCAGTGTGTTCATGCAGTGATTTTACCCCTGGATTATACCGGTACCAGCTATACGCCATACTTTGTAATTATTGTTCACATTGTTATGATTATTGTTATAATTGTTATAATTATTACATGACTAACCCTTTTAGTTAAGCCATTTATACCTTTAGGTAATTATTATTGTTCCTTACAAAATATATTATTCATTTTTATATCATTTGTCAGCGTTGTAATTCTCATATCCATCTGTTTCCAATACCTCACATTAATCTTATAAGGTTCACCATCACCGGTAAAAAATTTATATTTATCGCGTGACCAAAAATCTCGTTATTTATTAACCCTTAATTGCATGACTTTTTTTTTTGCTGAAATGAAATGTTTTTGATTAATTTGGGAGTGGCGAGTTTGGCAAAAATAATTAAAAAATTCCAACTTAAAACCCAATCTTGAAAAGTACAGCTTTTAAGTCTGTTGCACAAAAGCAACTATATGCGCACAAACTTATTTTTTTATTTTCAACGAAAGAAACAATATGTATGTTAATTTACTACTACTATTTAACTACTTTTATTATTTATATGCTAACTACAAAAAAGTAGTCCAAGATATGTTATTTAAAATAATATCTTTTTATTGAGAAAATAAAAATAAAAACATAAAATCATAATATTATATAACAATGTTATATAGTGTTCTAAAATAAAGTCTTCTAAAATTCAATAAAATAATAAAAATGACAGCCTGTCTTTATAAATGTAAATATCTGAATAAAATAATAATATAATGACAACTTGTATTTGTAAATGAAGATATTATTAATACAAATTGGTAAAACAAGTAATTTAATGTTAGAATAAAATAATAACTATGACAACCAGTCTTTATAAATTATCATAACAAAATAATCAAATAAAATAATAACCATGACAACTAAACTATTTCATATGATATTTATTGAAACAGTCACTATTTCTGGTAAAACACAAAGCCTTATTACATTTAGCACAGTTTACGTATGTAATACCTTTACAACCTAAGTATTTGCATTTTTGTCTATTTTGAGACCACTTAGGATTATGTTGAAAACCATCAAACCTTACATCTATAGGTGTAATGTTGACATTACGTTGCCTTTTTTTATCTGTTATATTTCCTAATTGATCTTCTTTAAGTGGTCTACCTCTTTTAGGCGTCACTATTTCTCCCATTTGACATAATGAAACAGCCAATTCCTCACGGAAATCTGCCAAACTAGATTTATATTTTTGCCCTTTACTTTCATAGATACGTTTTTGTAATATCCAAGAATTAGTAACAGTAATATCTACTAAATGATAGAAGAACCTCATGTACCACTTTCTGGATTTATAGAAATTTATATCTTCCAAAATTTGCATCCAACAGGTCAACTCCACCCATATGTTTATTGTAAACACTTATAATATTAGGAAAAGGAACCATTATTGATTGTTTTTCTTTTTTGGAAAACTTTTTACATGTTCAACCTGGGGTTCATACCTACAAATGTTGAAAGTAAAGTTACCAACTTATTATCTTTCCATAAGACTGCTGTAATTTTTTCCTGGTTTACAGTAGCTGTACATTCATACATGGTACCCCTTTCCTTAGATTTCATAGCAGCATCTGAAGGAAATGGTACATTTTTGAGTCTATTTCTTCTAACAGTTCCTAAGCTTTCAATACCTCTAGTTTTTAAATAAACCATTAACTGTATTGAGGTATAATAATTATCATAATACAATTTAAAATTGTTGTTTGATGGTATTATACGAGCAAGACGTACAACAACATTTGCACTAGCACCAATATCTGGTTCACAAGGAAAACGTAGTTCTGAATTATTTTCTTGTCCACTATAAATTTCCAAATTATATGCAAAACCAGAAACACCTGCCATAACAAACAATTTATAGCCCCATTTGTGCGGTTTCATGGGGATATATTGTTTTAAATAATGTCTAGCTTTAGTAGAACATAATTGCTCATCAATCGACAAACTTTCTTCTAGCGGAACTAATTGAAATTTTTTATTCAATGTTTCTAGAACTGGCCTTATACGATAAAGTCTATCATGTCCAGGTCTATTGAATGGAATAAGTTGGCAATTGTCATTAAAATGTAAAAATTGTTTGATTTTTTCAAACATATTTACAGACATGGTATTTTTTATAATATCATTACCTATATTTGATGACTAATAGCTTCGAATTGAAGGATTTTTTTGAACAGATATCATAATGGTTATTCCTAAAAATTTTTTGAAGTCAGTTTTATTAATTTTAAAAAGTTTTTCAACATTTTTTTGAATACTATATTTAAGAGTTTCCTCACAAATATGGTCAATTAGATCATTATCAAAAAAATAACTAAAAGTTTGGTAGGGAGAATCCAAGTATAAAATATCAGTTGTAAGTTCTTCACTACCTAGAAACTGTGAGCTGGGGTTTTCTTCAAAGGGTATGTTTTTCCAATTTACAGATGTAACAGGAGTAAATGGTCTTTGACTACTATTAGTATTTTCTGATATAGAAACAGTGGGTTGGGTATCCACAACCAATTACCAGTACTACATACTTCATCAGTTATATCATGAGGGACAGATATAACAATAGGATTGTTATGATATACAGACTCAATAAATACCAGATTTTCATCAATGACAGGTAGTTCTACTTAATCAGTATGTATATATCCATCAATTTCTTCTACACTTTCAAAATCATTCAACTCATCAAAGTCACCTTCATCAATTTCATCGTCGGAATCCAAAGGTATTCCGAATAAAGCGTCAAGCATTTCTTGTTCACTAAGTCCTTTATACTTTGACATTTTAGTTAATAGAAAAATATAATAGAAAATTAAAAAATATAATAAAAACGTTTTGATGTCATAAACAAATTTTGTATTTATTTTGTAATCAGCCCACAAGTCAATAGCGTGGGTAGACAGATAAGAAGTTTGTACGCATATAGTTGCATTTGTGCAATCGATGATTATCATTGATTTTCTTTGTACCATTTATTAAAAACACCTAAACGACAACTGTTTAATATAGTTTAGATGTACGATAAGCTATACTCATTTTTTCATTTTAGATAACACATATATTATCAGTTTTATGATTTTTCAAAGTTATCATATAGCCATTTGGTCACCGTACAATCACTCGTCAGTTTCCATGTATTATTACTTAATAAATAAACACGTAACAGTAAACAAATAAGATAACAAAATAATCAGAATTATTTAACGAATACGATGGTTTAATCACAAACTACCTACCAGTAGTTTTAAGGTCAGAATATTTAAAATTCATAACGTTGCATGAATGCAACTATATGCATTTAAGGGTTAAGAGGACGTGTCACCCATAGCTGTACGCATGCAACGACCGAGAGGATGCGCTGTTAGGTGTTTTCACGATCCGCAAGAGCGCGGCGTTTAAGTCACGCCTACTATTCGCAACCGGCCGACGGCGGCGACGAGTGCTCGTTCGGGACTTCGGGAGCGCCGTTTATTTGTCTATGAACTTTCGTCCAGTTCCATTCGTATCATTATATAATTCATTATACGCAAATGCCGCCGTAATATTTTCAATACCCTCGCGTACCTACGAACTACAGATTATAAATTAAGATACTGTTTACTTAAATTTATGTCCCAACATATAGATCGTAGAAACTGTATTATAACATAGCTTGATTTGAAGTTATTGAATTATTACTTATTTAAATATAATACTTATAGTAAAATCTAATAAATGGAAAATAAAATAAATACAGCGCAATTAAATTAATATTAATTTACTGTGTTTTATTTTTTAAGTTCAACTGTTTATGTTATATTAAACTGTTTAGGGACATTTTCATTTTCCATTTTTTTTTTAGTTTTTTTTCTAGAAATATCAATAAAATTTTATTTGTTGGTTAAAAAAGCTTGAAAATTTAATAAAAGGCTCCTAGTATATTGTTTCAAAGGCAGATGAATAATATTAAAAATCCTTAGTCACAATTTTTTTTATAAGCATTTAAAGTTAAAAAATTGACAAAATATGGAAAAATCACGAAAATTAGCAAATTATTTTGAGTTAAGAATTCGTAAAAATTTTTCTTTTTAAATCTAAGATTTAAAATGTAATACAAGTTTACTCAGAAGTTAGTCTACCTTTATCAATCAAAAAATCTACCGGAAAGTCAAATTAAATTTTTATGAGCGTTTGAAATTCAAATTTTTACAACATTGGATATTCACTCGATTTCTCATGTAGCGATTTCCTTATTTTGTTGTAATTCAAAAACGAATAACTGTAGATACATGAAAATTTCCCTGAATATTTATATTGGCATTTCCTATACACCATACAATTTTGAAAATATTTTGACTCTTTTTGAGCTATTTACGGAAATTTTTAGTTTTCAATTTTTTTAGTTTTTTTTCTATAAATATCAATAAAGTTTTATCTGTTGGGGCAAAAAGTGTAAAAATTTAATACAAGGCTCCTGATATATTGTTACAATAGCAATTGAAAAATATAAAAAATACATAAGCACAATTTTTTTTTATAAGCATTTAAAGATCTAATTTTGACAAAATTTATCAAAATCCCGAAAATTTTCAATCATTCTAATTAATAAATTATAAAATGTTCAGTTTTTATAGCTAAGGATTGAAAATTTAAAACAAAGATTCTCATAAATAGTTCATACTGTAACCAAAAAATCTAAAAAATATATGTACACAGTTATTTTTTACAGACATTTGAAATTCAAATATGGACGAAATTACATATTAAAAAACCTAGAATAACTATTTTAGTTTTTTTGTTGTGATTGAATATCGTGGGTACTTGAAACTTCAAAAGTGTATTTTTATATATCTATGATAGTATCACGGTTTTTATAACGCGTTGTAAGTACCTAATGGATATTGTGATTAATTTGGATTTTATTATAGGTACCTATTTTTTGTTTAATACCATATATATGTATATAATATGTCTTATACCTAGACTGACATAGTACAGTCTCCGCTCAGAATCGTTTTTCTTATACAATGATATAATATCATTGAATTCAAATGTAATACCATCACTTATACTTATAACCTACTGTACAACAGAGCGACACCCACTTGCCAACCTTTTTTTTGATTTATACACTCCAGATGATTTAAAAAGTTTTCTCCTGCGTCTTAATGTTATTCGTTTATCTGCCGTGTACTTCAAAAAATTTTTGGCTATGATTCCTATACACATATAATAATATTAAAACAACTACCCACATAATAATAAATTAATACTATTCCTACATTATAAATACTGAAAAATAATTCATAATGAAATATTTTATTTATTTTATTATTGTCCCTATACACCTTTAATATACAAATTATTTCAATTTTTGATTTACTCATAGCTAATACGATATACCAAAATATTAAAAGGTGGGTAAGTGGATGTCGCTCTGCTGTACAGTAGGTTACAAGTGGGTCACTGTATAATGGGTGGTATTAAATTTGAATTCAATGATACAATATCATTGTATAAGAAAAACGATTCTGAGCGAAGACAGTATGTCAGTCTAGGTTTATATTATATACATATCTATGGTATTAAAAAAAAAAATTGACCTATAATAAATTCCAAATTAATCATATCACAATATCCACTAGGTACTTATAACACGTTATACATCAATAACAAACAGTGATGGCTGATACTATCATTGATAAATAATATAGGTTAGGTTAGGGTATGTAATTTCGTCCCAAATTTGAACTTAAAATGTCTGTAAAAAATATCTGTGCTCATATATTTTTTAGATTTTTTGGCTACAGTATGACTTATTTATGAGAATCTTTTTTTAATTTTCAATCCTTAGCTATAAAAACTGAACATTTATAATTTATTAATTACGATGGTTAATAATTTTCGAGATTTGCGATCTTTAAATGCTTATAAAAAAAAATTGTGCCTATGTATTTTTTATATTTTTCAATTGCTATTGTAACAATATATCAGGAGCCTTGTATTACATTTTTACACTTTTTGGCCCAACAGATAAAACTGTATTGATATTTATAGAAAAAAAAACTAAAAAAATTGAAAAAAAAAATTTCCGTAAATAGCTCAAAAGAGTCAAAATATTTTCAAAATTGTATGGTGTATAGGAAATGCTAATATAAATATTCAGGGAAATTTTCATGTATCTACAGTTATTCGTTTTTGAATTACAACACAATAAGGAAATCGCTACATGAGAAATCGAGTGAATATCCATTGTTGTAAAAATTTGAATTTCAAACGCTCATAAAAATTTAATTTGACTTTCCGGTAGAGATTTTTTTATTGATAAAGGTAGATAAACTTATGAGTAATCTTGTATTAAATTTTCAAATGTTAGATTTAAAAATAAAATTTTTATGTATTTCTAACTCAAAAATAATTGCAAATTTTCGTGATTTTTACGTATTTTGTCAAAATTGAACTTTAAATGCTTCTAAGAAAAAATTGTGACTGTATATTTAATATTTTTCAAATGTCATTGTAACAGTATATGAAGAGCCTTGTATTAAATTTTCAAGCTCTTTTACCCAACATTTAAAATTCTATTGGCAATCATAGAAAAAAAACTAAAACAACTGAAAATTCATTATGTCCGTAAAGCGTAAACAACTCAAAACAAGTCAAAATATTTTAATCGTGTGAATTTTATCGTATATAGAAATTAATGCTAATATAAACATTCAGTGAAAATTGCATGTATCTATGGTTATTTTTTTAGAGTTACACCAAAAACCAAAATCGATTTTGTTGAAAACTGATATTTCTTATAAATTCCCATTTTTCCTTAGTTTTTATTTAGTTATTCTATGCGCTTTTAAAACTATTGGAATTTTAAATTTTGACCTTCTGAATGAACCAAATATATTCACTTTCCCATCAATCGAGATAGGTACTGTTGAAAAAAATCGAATTAATTGTACTTCCCCAAACAAAATTTTTATTTTGTTTTTCCCGGCGCTTTTGAAAACTACTGTGAAATTTAAATTTTGACCTCCCCAATGCACCAACAATATTCACTTTCCAATCGAACAAGATACTGAAGTTGAAAATCGAAGCATTATTTCGACTACTTATCGTGTACACAGACACAAAAAAAAAAAAAAAAATAAAAAAAATAAATACACACATCATTGTAAAATCAATACATTCATCGTTTCACTCAGAATCTAAAATGTGAAATGTGAAATATAAGTTTTGGTAGTATTTATTTAATTTTAATTTTGAAAGCGTTGTTGTAAAAAACTCAAAATTTCAATTAAATTCTAATTCATGCCATAATAATATTATAAAATTAAAATTAATTAATTAAACTCACTATAGGTACTTTTTAAATAATGTACCTGGACTTTTGGTTGTTATCTTTTTGTGAAGCTCTCGTATATAATTGCCACCTGTATTAAATGATACTACAGCAGTACAGCAGTATATATTCTAGTGGTGTACGACTGTTTTTGAGAAAAATTAATTCGTTTACTGCCTATGTGCTTATTAATGACACTATTAAACTATTCGCAGATGTTGTTATCAACATCAAGTAATAAACTTTTTGCATTATCAGCAACACGTCTAAGTGCAGTTGTCATTTCTTTCATCAAACCACTTTGCAATACTTCGTCGATCAAATTCAGTTCGTATAACTTTCTTCCAGTGCAAAAATATCGGGCTCAATTAGAGTGTTTGCCAAATATATGGTATGGACTATTTAAAATATCCTTTCGCAAATTATATTCAATTTATAATATGTACCACTTTATCTGGTTGTGGCTCAGATTGTCTACATTGAATGATTTCTTTTTTTTTTCTTTTTTTATTGATCTTAATTAACATCGGCGACAAAGGCCATTAGTTACAATAATGTTTACAATTACATTTTTTTTTTTTTAAAGTTTGACTTAAATTTTATTATACAGATTAGTTTTGGTTAAGAATTGGAGGACTTGTATGGTTTTCTCTGCGTCTGGTCCGAGTGCTGCATCAAGTGTGTAGGGTATGTGGCAGTTTCTGTGTTCATCTGTGTATTGAAGGCATTCGGTGATTACATGTTTGACCGAGAGTTCGGTTCCACAAGAAGTGCACTGTGGTTTTTCTCCTCTGTCCATGAGGTATCCATGTGTAAGTCGGGTGTGGCCAATGCGGAGTCTGTTTATAACTACCTTATCCCTTCTATTCAGAGGGAAGTTTGGCCAGTCGAAAATTGTGTTCTTTATTCTTCTTAGCTTGGTATTCTGTTTATGCCAGTGTATTTTCCATTTTAGTTGTATGCGATCCTTGATTAGGTTTTTTAAATCTGCGTATGTTGTTATATTTAATTTTTGGGCGTCTGGTGATGTTGCTGATTTTTTGAGTATTCGTCTGCTTTTTCATTTCCTTCTATGTTACTATGACCAGGAATCCAGATGAGGGCTATGTTTGTTCCCTGGGATTTTTGTTGTTGTATGATCGTTGCTATGTCTGTTGTGTTCGTTGTGTTTTTTAGACTTTGGAGAGTGCTCAGGGAGTCTGAGAGTATTAAATTGTTTTTGCGAGAGTTCCCCTGCTCAATTATGAGTTCCACTGTCTTCAGGATTGCTATGGCTTCAGCAGTTTAAATGGAGGAACATTTGGGGAGCTTAAAAAAGGAGGTGAGGCATACGCTAATAATTGTTATGCCCACCCCTTCTTCTGATTTGGAGGCGTCTGTAAAATAAAGGTTATCGTCTTTGTAATTTTGAAGAATTTCTTGTAGGTAGTTTTTATACGTTATTGGAAGTGTGGTTTCTTTCTTGAATTTTGTCAACTCTAGATTGATGTCGAAGCTGGTGTTCCACGGGGGGAAAGTGTAAGGCTGGACTTTGATTATTGAGCTTAGGTCTACTTCATATTCTTTGGCGTAACTTGAGGAATCTTTTATATGTTTGTTTGCAGGATTGTCTGGGTTTCTTGCGATTTTTGCTGCGTACAAAAGGGATTTTTCTATTCTTCTTAAATCGGAAGGGGGTTCAAAAGCCAGATTTCGGATGCTTTCAATGGGACTTGAACGGAGAGCTCCCAAAGCGAGTCTTATACTTGTGTTGATGGAAGTGTCTACTATCTTTAGGTGGCTTGGTTTTTCTGATTGGTAGATTGATGCCCCGTACTCGATTTTTGCTCTAATGAGCTGTCTATGTATTTTGATGAGAGTAGGTTCGTCGCCTCCCCATGTGGTATAGCTTATCATTTTCATAATGTTGAGACTTCTTGATAATATTGTTTTCAGGTGCTTGAGGTGCTGTATCCAGTTTATTTTCTTGTCAAAATATACTCCGAGAATTTTTAACGTGTTTTTATTTGGGATGAGAGTGTTGTTCATCTGGATGTTAATGTGGTTTAGGCCTCTCTTATTTGTGAAGACAATGCACTGTGATTTTTCGCTAGAGATTTTGAATTCTGTTTGGGAGGCCCATTTTGAAATTTTATTTGTTGTCTCTTGTAGTAGTTTCTGAACGGTTTTTAGATTTTGGCTTCTACACCAGAAGTTAAAATCGTCTGCGAAGAGGTTGGCATTTACGGGGGTTTTTATGGTAGAGGTTATGTCATTGATAGCTAGTAAAAAGAGAGTAACCGATAGTGAGGAACCTTGGGGAATTCCATTTATTTGAGAGTAGTTTTTAGATTGGGTGTTTGCCAGCTTGACCGAGAATTGTCTTGAATTAAGAAAGCATTTGATGTAATTTAGCATGTTACCGTCTGATATTACTTTTGATAGTATTTGCACCACTCTGTGTCTCCATACAGAGTCATATGCTTTGGAGATGTCTATGCTTACTAGACCTAGGTATTGTTTTGAGGTAAAAGTTTTGTTTGTTTCTGATTTAATGATTGTGAGGTTATCGATAGTGGATCTATATTTACGGAAACCGCTTTGTTTGTCCGATATTATTTATTGATTTTTCCAGGAACCAAATCAGACGGGAGTTAACTATTTTTTCTAGGATTTTGGCCATTGTATTTAGAAGCGTGATCGGTCTGTATCCTTCTAATAAGTGTTTGTCTTTGCCTGGCTCATGGATACGTATTATATTACCCTTTTTCCATCCTGAGGGGATACTTCCGTTTTTCCATATGTAGTTATAGATGTTGAGGAGATGCTGTTTTGTTCTTGAGTTAGTATTTTGTATGAAGCTATACGGGATTGTGTTAGGGCCAGGACTTTTACTGTTACATTTTATGAGAATTTGTTCAATCTCTTCCATTGTAATTTGGAGGTTAAGGTATTTCTTTGGTTGGGATGTATGATTTGACATATATTGTGACTCCTCCACTGGCTCTGTTTGCTGTTTTTCTATTTTTGCTAAAGCCATTGTAGGTTTTGAGGGTGGCTGTGAAGTTGTCTTTAAAATTTGTTTCTTGTAGACAAACAATTTGTGGGTCATGGTTCTGAATGATGATTTTGAGTTCTTCTTGTTTTTTGAAGAAGCCGTTTAGGTTCCATTGGATAATATTTGTCATAGTGAGTAAAAGGGTGATATTTTGATTGATGGTGTGGCTGGAGGTTGGATTAGGCTTGAGACGTGGTTTGGGAGGGGTGTTTCGAAGGCGGAGTTGTGAAAATTGTTTAAGAAGTATCGGATGAGGGCATGATGCAAAAGAGTAGAAATGTTCTTAATTACCATTATTGATTTAATATTGTTTGTTTGGTATATAGTAGGTATGTTGATTATGAGACAAGCTAGTAAGTTTCGTCGTCATTACTGTTAGCATTGGAGGTCTGACAGAACTTGAAGACTTGGACTGTTTCTAGTGCTTTTGATAGTCTGGTAAGACGATTTTTAATACTTTTCATTTTTACGGCGGGGTAAATGTTTGTAATGATTTCGATTATAATTTCAGGACTGGTATTGTGCTCCGTACATAAACTCTCTAAGTCAGTGCAACCTTGTGAATTTTCAAAGAAATCTTTAAATTGATTGAGAGATAAGGGCATTTGAGGATTAGAGTTGAACAGATCTTCAGTTGGGTCCAACCCTTCATCAATATTAGAATAGAAACTATCGTTTGAACTAGTGCTGGTTCTAACTTTCGGTTTTTTATGTACATTTCCTTTGAGGTTTTTTGGTATCTGCGTTTTTCCGTCAGGTGCGTTGGGGGGCTTCATTATTGGAGATGGGCTGGTCGAGAGCAAAGATTTTGGAGATAGTGGTTGAGACGAGGTCGACGGGGCTGGGCGTTTAATTGTGGTTGGAGGCGTTGTGTTGACATTTTTGATGGATGACGATTTGAGTTTTTCGACTAGCGAATGTTTTTTTGGTAGGTCGATATAGGTTGGTTCTTCATTATTTTTTGTATTGTTTGGTATTGGAGGAACATTATTTTGAGTGGTATCAATATTTTGAGTATTTACAGTAAGAGGCGAGGGGGTTACATTTTCTTCTACATTAATTGGGACTGATTGTTCGTCATTTTTTGTTTCCATGTGGGTTTCGGTTATATCAAGGATATTGATTTGTTCAGGTATATTTTTGCATTGGCTAGAAAAATGCCCGGTCTTATGACATTGGAAACAAGTTACAGTGTCGTCGGTGATAAATATTCTGAAGGTGGTGTTTTCAACAGTTACTGTGATTGAGCTAGGTAGTTTAGACACGCTGTCTTGACTGATGTATACTTGTCTTCTGAAGCTTAATATATGCGAAAATTGTTCTGTAGCAAAGCCAGCTTTCATGTGAGAAATTTGGGAAGAGGTTTTGATTCCTGCTTCATGTAGAGTGTTTAATATAGGTTGGTTAGGTATATTAGGGTAAACATTGGATAGAATGGTTCTTTTGGACCCGTTTATAAGTCTACGAATTGAGATTTCTATTTCATTGACATAAATTGAGGAGTGGGTTTTGAGTAGATTTTCCATGGCGGCTTGACTATTGAAAAATATGCAGAATCTATTTTTTGAAATACGTGATACAAATTGTATATATTCTGCAGGTATAATTTTACTGATAGCGGTTACGTACTCAATTTGTTTGTTATTGTTAATGGAGTTAAATACAATTGCGAATGTTGTATTATTACGTATATGTTGGGAAGTACTGTCTGTGATATTCATATCGTCAGATATGATGGCGGGCTTATCGCCCATCATTATTGATTTGGATATTTATTTAATTGGTGTAATTAAGGCAATAATTTTAATCATAATCATATTACCTACAACGCTGTAGTTTGCACAAACTGGTGTGTTACTGCTATCGAAAGCTATAAATGCGATACTATAAGAAACACACGTGTGTCACGGTCGGGCGTTGAACACGAACTGGAATGATTTCTGTTAATTGTTATAAATGGTTTTTTTGAGTACCTACCTATTTCTTTTTTTATCATACCCAAATTGTTCGATAATTTAAGTAATACGGCCTATTTAAATAGTTTACAGCAAAACTACCTATTATAAAAGTTTTAGAGAAGAATTTTTTCAACAATTGAAATAAGCTCGATTTTTTATATTTTTATTAATAAGTTAAATAATTAATCGATAAAAAGTAAAAAAAAAAAATGTTAATTTACCATGCGATATTGGACGATTGGAATACGATATCAAAAATCGGATTTATTACGATTGTTAAAAAAATTCTCCTCTACAATTTTTATAATAGGTATTTTTATTGCAAACCGCTTCAATAAGCCGTATTACACTATTACCTACTTGAAGAACAAAAGTATAGTTTTTATTTGTATAAAATTCGGATACGAATACAAAATATAAAATCGAACCAAATTAAATATTATTTGTCACAAATATAATAATCATTTTCTTATCTGGTTATTTATAAACTATGCACGGGCGCTCGGCTGCGATAGAGAACCTGTTTTGACCACGGTGCGGTACCGCCGTTAATGCGCGCGGGGTGGTGGTATGCACAGCTAGTATCGAACGCTGCCACTGACTACGGGCGCAGCACTTGCCGAGCGTAATTTTCTGCAGTTTTCTTATAAAACATACTTTGCGCGTTCCAATAATATGGGTTACTGAGTGGTTTAATCGTAAAAACACCTATGAACAAAATTGTAGAGGAGAATTTTATCTGGTTCCATAAGAAGCCCGATTTTTGATATCTTTAAAACATCATGAAATATATCATGATTAATAATACACTTTTTTTTCATTTTCCGGAAGTTAATTTTAGGACTTAGCAATGAAAATTTAAAAAATCGGGCTTCTTACAGAACCAGATAAAATTCTCCTCTACAATTTTGTTCATAGGTGTTTTTATGATAAAACCACTCAGTAACCCATGTTATTGGAACGCGCAAACATGTTTTTAAAGGAATTTTTCGAGTTATTTTTTTGGGTGACACGTCCTCTTAACAAGAATTGGTACACAACAATATGTAATCTTAATTACCAAAATCCATGTTTTATTCCAATTATTTTTCATAATCTTTCAGGTTATGATGCCCATCCATTTATAAAAGAATTTGGGAATGATAATGAAAAAATAAAATTAATCCCAAATAATGAGGAAAAATATATTTCTTTTTCAAAAATGATGTCATTTGAATTAACTAGGAAAGGTAAAGACATAGTAATATATACAGAATTAAGATTTATTGAATCATTCAAATTTTTACCTAGTTCTTTAGAAAAGTTAACAAATAATTTAAAAAATGATTCAAAATTAAATTTAAAAAATAAATTTAAAGAACTTAGAAAATATTTTCCAGAAGAACATTTAAATTTTGTTACTAGAAAGTTAGCTTATCCCTATGAGAATATGGATTGTGAAGAAAAATTTAATGAAACATGTTTACCTCCTATTGAAAAATTATATAGTTCTCTTACAAATGTAAACTCTCACTAGGAGTGATACTGTTGTTTTTGTTTTGTACTGAAGATATCGTTACCTAATGAGAGTAAACCAGTTTTTGTTGTGCGGCTCAGGCGACCTGTCAGCTGTGCCCGCCAGAATTGCACCGTTGTGATATTAAAGTGATTTGTTACAGAGTTGAATAAAAGTAAATTTACCTAGCGAAAGTCATAATATTATTATTGTTAAATCCTGACAGTTAACACTAATAAATATATAACTATAGAGGAATATAAAACTCACAAAAAATTTTGAAAGTGTTTAATATACAAAATCTTCTTGAATTCACTAGATTATAGAATAAGATCGATGTTTTATTGTCAACAGATATAATAGAACATTTTAGAGACAATTCTTTAAAAAAATTATAAATTAGATCCTATGTGGTTTTACACAACACCACGATTTGCATTTGATTGCATGTTAAGAATGACAAATGGAAAATTAGATTTATTAACAGATGTCGATCAAATGTTGATGTTTGAAAAGGGAATCAGAGGTGGTTTATCTGAATGTAATCAAAGATATTCAAAAGCAAATAATAAATATATGGGAGATAAATTTAAAAAAAAGGATGAATCAATATTTTTAGAATACTTGGATGCAAATAATCTTTATGGTTGGGCAATGAGTAAGTATTTACCTACTGGAGATTTCAAATGGGTTGATAATCTGAATGATTTTGATGTAATGAATATTTCTGATAAATCATGTAAAGGTTATATTTTAGAAGTTTATTACCCTAAAGAACTTCATGATCTACATTCAGATTTCCCTTTAGCACCAGAAAGACATTTTGATAACAAACAACTACCAAAATTATTAACAACTTTGTATGATAAGAAAAAATATATAATACATTATGAAACACTAAAATTATATATTAATTTAGGTTTAAAGATAGAGAAAATTCATAGTGTTAGAATTTAGTCAATCTTATTGGTTAAAAGTGTATATTGATTTTAATACTAATCTTAGATCAAAAGCTAGGAATGAGTTTGAAAAAGAATATTTCAAATTAATGAATAATAGTGTTTATGGACGTACTATGATGAATGTTCGAAATCATGTTGATATAAAATTATGTTCTAATGCAGCCCAACTAGAAAAATTAATTGTAAAACCAAATTTTGATCGAAGGACAATTTTTACAGAAAATTTAGCTGTAGTACATATGAAAAGAACACAAATATTTTTCAAACAACCAATATACGTAGGAATGTGTATTTTAGATTTATCTATATATATAAAAATGGAGACAAAAAATTTGAAATTGCATCAGTTGAGAACGGCTGGGCCGATTTTGCTCAAATTTTTTTTAAATGATAGAGAATGTCGGGGAGCGGGTTTATAGCATAAATTATGGACCTAACTCATGTGAGTTAGAGATTTAGAGACAAAAACTGAGTTACACCGGTGGCGCCCTCTAGCAGATAAAAATAAAAATATAAATATAATATAAATAATAATAATAATTGAAAGTGTTTGTAAGCGAACTCCTCCTAAACGGCTTCACCGATTTTGATGAAATTTTTGGGTGTGCTTGATTGCGCCCTTGAATGGTTTAGATTCATAATCGGACCCGGTAGGCCTATTTCGGGGAGGTGCTCAAACGGGAATGTTGAGATTTACGGTGGATATTTTTGTTTATAAATGGTTGCCATGGGTTTTAAAGCTATTATAATAATAATTATTCGTTGCCGTCATTCGTTAACACCATACACCGAATGTTAAATAACTAAATAACGAATTGAACAAAGTTTGAGTCATATAGAATTTGTACATTTAACGGGAAACGAAGTGCACGGGATCAGCTAGTCTACTATATTATATTTTAATTTTATTTATTAATATTATTTTTAGGAAAAATTACGTTTCAATTTTTAATTATTATTGCGTTTCATAAGTTTTGAGAAAAATATTTTTTTAATTATTATTGCATTTCGATTTTAATTATTCACAATTAAGTTTTGCGGAAAATATTTTTATTATTTTTGCATTTCGATTTTTTGAAAAATATTTCAATTATTATTGCATTTCATAAGATTTCCGAAAAATATTTTAATTGTTACTACATTTCAATTTTTGATTTTTTTTGTGATTGTTTTCATTGTGATCTTTTGCTGATATAAAATGGAGGTGATCCAGGAAAGGTACATATATACTACGAATGTCTATTGATCCCAATCTTGTCTCCAACAAGTTACAAAATATATTTTAACAAATATATAACAAGTATAACAAATTACTCTAAACATAATAATTAATTTTTCCTATCACATATTATTATGTCTTATCATAGAATTCAAAATAATAGTAATCACTCTTAAATAATGATATCACATATTATGTCTTATCAGCCTACCTTACTAACGCGAATTCAAATACCTAAGGAGTATACTCCTCATATCTCCCCTCCTCGGGAGAGTGAAACGTCTTCAGTAGCTCGTTCCGCGTCGTCTTCCAGTTGAATTAATTTTGAGTAGTGAATAATGTTAGACTCTTCTTTTTTGTATCCAGTGTTTACTTTGAACATCGTGTCAGAGATCTTTTCTAATATTTTTAATGGTCCTATTCTTAACTTATCTAATTTTTTTCTGTTGAGACGGTTTCCGTTTTCTTCATATACCATTTCACCAATTTGGAAAACATGATCTTTTCTATTTCTGTCATATACTATTTTATTATACTCATGGTATTTTAAGCTGTTTTGTAGTGCCTTGATTCTATTTTCTTTTAAATTTGTGAGTTGTTGATTTGTAGCTAATTCTTTTCGCAAAAGGGTAGTTACTGTGTGCACCGCTTCATTATACTTTTGTACGTATTGCTGTGCTATGGTTGTCTAGGCTTTCCTGTCACTAGTTTCATTCACTTTACACCTCATTTTATTCACTAAGGTCTGGTTCAACCGTTCATTTAAGCCGTTAGAAAAAGGTGCATTCACCGCTGTGAAAATTAGCTGAATGTTTTTGTTTTTTTTATATATTCTTTAAACTCATAGGCATCTATTCCTGGATATTGGTCAACCAAGATTTTCCCTATTTGTTCATTATCTGTCACTTTTTTTTACCGATTTTATGAAGTCACTACCTGATTGAGTCTTCGAAGTTATAATATGTGCAAACCTTGTAAAATGATCTACAAGTATGTGCATATATTTTTTGGTTGATCTTGAGTCTCCGAATCCTCCTATCGTGTCTATTGACATTATTTCGTAGGGTTTTTTTGCCGGACCCAGTTGTGATAACAATCCATATTTATATTGGCCTATTGATTTATTTTGTATACAGATTTCACATTTTCTACATGCATCTTTGATGTTTTCTAAAAGATTTTTGGCAGTATAATATTTTTTTATCATACTTGTCATTTGGCTTATTCCAATATGATTGAACTCTTTATGTACCTTTATTATTAGTGTCCTGCTAAACACTTCAGATAATATAATTTTCCCGTTTCGTAAATAAAAATTATGTTCGTTGCACATTGCTTTTTGACTTTTTATTTAATTATTTTTTTCTTAGTCTTCCTTGATATTTTCCAAACTTATTATATTTACTGTTTTTAGAATATCTTCTTTACTTTCATCAGCTTCCAATACTGGGTGTCTGCTTAAACAATCCGCTTCTATATTGAATTTTCCTGGATTATATATCACCTTAAAGTCGAATTGAGACATATAATAAGTCAAGTCGCCCAGTTTTTCGTCTGGTCTAGCTTTTATATTTAAGTCCTTCAAAGGTTTGTGATCTGAATACACTTCAAAATATCTACCAATCAACCAGTATTGCCAAAATTTAATAGCTTCTTTAATAGCTAACACTTCTAAGTATATCGGTTTCTTTTTACTTTGTGCACTTGTTAATTTTTTTGAAAAATATGCCACTGGTTTTTTGTTATTATCTGATTGAGGTTGTTTCAATACTCCTCCCAATCCTATAATACTTCCATCAGTATACATTTTGATTGGTAATTTAGGATCATAAATAGTCAAAATTGGTGTTTTACATAAATAATTTTTTAAATAATTGAAGGCCTTTTGACATTCTTGTGACCAAATAAATGTTTGGTTTTTTCTAAGCAATCTATGTAGTGGTTCTAAAATAGTTGCAACCTTCGGCACATATTCATGATAAAAATTAATCTTACTTAGAAATTGACGAATGTTTTTTTGTGTAGTTGGTGTTGGGAAGTCCATTATTGATTTTAGATTATCTGTCATAGGTCTCACTGTATTATAACCTATTATATGACCTAGGTAATTTACTGTATCTGTTGCAAAAAAACATTTTGATAAATTTAACTTGAAACCTTCTTTTATTATTGCATCCAATAATTTTTTTAGGTGTTCTAAATGTTTTTCAAATGTTTTTGAAAATATCAATATATCATCAATGTAGTTTACTGTGAAAATTGTCAACTCATATTTTCTAATTATATTGCTTAGAATTCTTTGGAATATTGCTGGTGATTTAGAATAAGGTCTGATACTTTCAGGTGATATAGTAATTGGCTTTTGTCTTAATGTTTCAGTTATTATGTTTGTTATAACTGTATGTGTGTTCTCAGATGTTTCATTAGTATGCATATTATCTGTATTATTTAACAAAATATTTGTAACAGTTGATGGCGCATATTCATCCTCGTTAAACACATTTCTATTGAATGGCCATACACCAGACACAGAAAAACCATTTATTATATTTTTTGGTGTAGCTGCGTTTACAAGTGCATTTGATGTAACAGAAGGTAAATCGTATATGGTAAACCTTTTACCAGGGTTGCTTTTCATCCAGGAATCCATTTCCTAGTTTATTAATTTTTTAAATGGACCAAACACTGACCTGTCTTAAGGTTATAGTTTGTGGGAGCAATGAGGGGGGAATGAAAGCAACACAATACCATTTGCCCTGCAATAATCAATTACTGGTAAATATAAATGTATGAATTAATCCTGTATTATAGGGTATCATACTAGATTATATAGTTAATATTCTATTATTAGACAATTATGACTTATCATTAAAACCCAATAAACTTATTGTATCATTCAACCTGGATGAGGACTCTAAACTGAATTATTTATTTTGGTTCATATTATATATTAATTTGAGTTCTCAAAATAAGTTGAATTTGTTGGGTATAAGTTATATTTATTGAAAAAAAAAATAAATTATAAGGTTAGTGTTCATTCTGGTTATAAAATAGAATTTTGGATATTGTTTGGATTTTTACGGAATACGCGTAAAAGTAATATAGGTGCAAAGTCCTGTAATTTACATAATATTAAAAATAGTATTTTAAATATGAATAATAAATAATAAATAATAATAAACAATATATATTAGAATTAAAAAATATATTAAATTGTATATTATAATATATTAATTTACAATTTTATTTTTAGTAGCTATATACTGATAACAATTCTCTTATTGTTAACAAATAAAACAGAACATTTAAAATTTATAATTATATGAATAAGCGTAAAATTAATACAGGTACGAATTACTGTAATTAACATAATATTAAAAATAGTATTTTGAATATTTATAATAAATAATAATAAACAATATTAGAATTAAAAAAAAAATATTAAATTGTATATTATAATATTAATTTACAATTTTATTTTTAGTAGCTATATACTGATAACAATTCTCTTATTGTTAACAAATAAAACAGAACATTTAAAATTTATAATTATATGAATAAGCGTAAAATTAATACAGGTACAAATTACTGTAATTAACATAATTTTAAAAATAGTATTTTGAATATGAATAAAAATAATAATAAACAATATAAGAATTAAAAAAAAAATATTAAATTGTATATTATAATATTAATTTACAATTTTATTTTTAGTAGCTATATACTGATAACAATTCTCTTATTGTTAACAAATAAAACAGAACATTTAAAATTTATAATTATATGAATAAGCGTAAAATTAATACAGGTAAAAATTACTGTAATTAACACAATTTTAAAAAATAGTATTTTGAATATGAATAAAAATAATAATAAACAATATAAGAATTAAAAAAAAAAATATTAAATTGTATATTATAATTAATTTACAATTTAAGTTTTAGTATCTTTACTGATTCCAATTCTCTTATTATTGTTAGCAAATAAAACAAAACATTTGAAATTAATTTATAGTTATGAATAATTAAAATTATAAAGAATGAATTTTTTGTTGTTTTTTTTCTTCTCTAAATTTAGCATTTGCCATGAAAAATTTCATTGGTTTTAACACTTCTTGGTCTGTGCAGTTCCGATGTTTTTGTACACTTCTTACAGTTTCTAAAATATATATAAGTATATTTTGTTTTATTAATGTGTAGATGGTATCATTATTATAATATATTATAAGATCTGGGCTATATTTGTATGAAATATTAGAATGGTTCAAATTAATGTAAAATTAATAAATAACTTATTTTTTTTTTTTATCTTAAACATACAAAACAATTCTTTCTTATTCTTATTATGTACTTTTACCAATCCTTATTAGTATTTAAGAATTTGCTAATTGTTTTAGAATTTATAGAACAAATACAAGTTTTAACTTATGTAAGTAGGTATATTATAAATATATTAAACAATTAAAAAAACAAATAAACCAAATCATTTAATATTTATAGGTAATGTAAATAAAATATAAATGAATTTTATAAATAAATAGTTCATTTTAAAAGATTTATACATTTTAAAATAATTAAATAACTAAATACCTATTAAAAAATGTATTATATTATGTAATTAAATATTGGAGGTTCATTATTGTTTAATTAACCTATTATTGTATTATATTAATTAAAAAAATTAAGTCTTAATTATATTTAAGGTATGGGCAGGTGATATGGTTTCATTAATAATATACTGCAGTAAAATATATATGCGTATAGTTTGCATACTGTTCCATATTATCAGAAAATTTCAATATTAAGCCCTTTCTCTTGGATAATTCTATTTATGTTACTCTTTATCATAGCAGCTCTGACACACATTATTATTATATTTATTAACACTATTTACTTTATAACTTATTAAAATTATTAAGTATACTAAAAAAAAAATTACCAAATATGATGGAACAGGAATGAAGAGTAGCAAACACCATTTTATGTTTCTGTCCTGCATAAGAAAATTGTGATAGCAAATTATTATGAAACATCTTCGACATTATTTGGCGTGTCATATCTGAAACACTATCGCGTTCTAGTCTACTCAAGTAATGTACCTACATAATAATAAAAAAATAAATTTTAAGTTGTAAGAAAATTATTATCAAATGTATGTCAAAATTATTGAAGATTTATTATTAAACGCACCACTTTCTGCCGAAATTCAATGTCTCCTAATTTTTCTTCAAATATATTTAGCTCATCAATATTTGTCATTGGGAATTTATAAATACTATCATTGACTAGATGATTAACTTCTTTTGAAAAAGATTTGTTTTGATTTGCATGAATATCACTCAACATATTTTCAATCCTATCAATTTTTATCATATAATTTTTCATATCATATTTAATGTTTGTAATGGAACGAGTCAAATTTATTAAAGTATTTCTTAAACCTGAAAAATTATTAATAATTTTCAATCTTATATACATTCTACAAATCAGTTACCTATAATGGTTTTGAAAAAGATGCAAATTATTTATTTATTATATTACCATCGGTAGCTAAGACGTCATTAGTATAACGACTACAAGGCATGGGTGACGTGTTAAAATCAACTTGAGTAGTAACGACATCATCAATATTATGATCATTTAAGCGATAGTTTCTTGTAGGGGACTTAAGCAAATCTGTATTTATGCTTTCTGAAAGTGATAAGTAAAGTACAAAATTAATTCAAGGAAACTTTTTTTGATTTATACAAACAGATTCAAAATAAATAAATTGATGTATATATATTAATATATATATTTATATTTTATCTATATATATATATATTTTAATAACATAACTAATGTATAATTTTAATTTTATGTTAATTTAATCATGTAAGTTCAATATTACCAAAATGTTTTGGAGACTGACTGACACGACCTTTACTATTACGGTTCCCATTTGTTTTTTGGGACATTGAATCAAAATTTAGTTTTCTTTTTGAAGATTTAGTGGACCTTGAATTATTATTATCAATTATTACTTTCCATTTTCCTGATGATGCAGGTGAGTTTATTTTAATAATATTTGAGCTTGGTCCTATAATATAATGACAATAATAATAATGGCAAAAATATAAATAGCTTAATTCATATATAGTTAGCAAACACAACAGTTCGTATAGTTATGTGCATTCATTGGAATGTAATACTTTAATTACCTTCAAGAGATAACTTTCTAGAAGGGGATCGATAATTATTGTTTTTTGACATGTTTTGTTGCTTTTCACTCATTTTTACTTCAAAATATTTTACGGGAGACTTTTTAACACCTAAAAAAAAAGAAAATTGTAATATATTATTAAAAATAATAATTGTAATTCATTTATATCTTACATGAATTCATATTCGGGAGACTAAATGTACGATCGGTATCAGAGTCATCAAAATCTGAATTGTCTAAAAAAAAATTATAAATACAATGTTATATTACAATAATGAATAGGTTTAATTTTACTTTTATTGTATACCTGTATCATCAATTAATTTGGGAGGACTAAATGTTTTTGGCGGTTTTTGACATGCGGAAAGATTTTTTTTTTTTTTTTTTAAATTAAAATCATAATTATCAGCATCACCAAGTATTTTGCATCGAAGTTTTCTAGTTTCTTTATTTTCAATTTCTGATAAATCTGAGGTATGAGTTGCTTTACTACATTTTGTTTTGGCATCTTTTAAAGTTGCTGAAAACCGTTTTAAAGCAATATTATAAATTATAATAAACAAACTATAAATAAAAATAAAGGTACCTAATAATAATTAAACATTTTTTATTGCAAATTAACAACTGTTTCAGTTGAATATTTTTACTAACCAATATCTTTTGCTAAAATACGAACATCATACCAATTGAAATCTGATGTATTAGGATTTGTTTTTTTTTCAATCTGTTTTTTTGGATCTAAATTTCTACGAGGCCAAGCACAAGTAGTTCCATCTTTTGACAGCCAATGAGATGGTACAACTTCAACTGTATCTTCTTGTACAAATATTACGATGTGGTATGTCATATTAAGTTGAATGCATAAAATATAACTGTAAACATAAAATTTAACTAATTTAGGTTAAGTACAAAAAAATTCGTTTAACTACCTAGGTACCTTCAAAATTTTTTTTTTTTTTTTTAATTAGTTTAATCATCATTAATTGAATGTATAATAGGCAAAGCTATTTTTTCATTACATTTTTCCAATAGCATAACCTTTTTTTTTAAATTTTTCATTGGAATCCAACATAGTTCATTAGATAAATTATCAACAGTATAAATATTAAAAGTATCAGAACTAAGTGGTTGTTCATAAAATGGTCTTTTAGATTGGAATATTTTCCCAATGAAAACAACTTCATTTGTATCTTTAGTATGAGCTATGTTTAAGACTTTCATAATATTATTGTCTACAGTTAATATAAATTGATCAGCTATACATGTTGTTTTAATTTTTGTATTTAGTAAATGAACAGTTTTAAATTGTGGTGCTATTAAATCATTTAACATAGGACCATTTGTGTGTTCATTTTTAAAAACAATTTCTGTATTAGCATTTTTATAAGTATTTGCATTTTTTTGTTCATAGAATCTTTTAATTATTTGTTGTAGCGGTTTATCGTGTTT